GGAGGAGGAGGAGGAGGAGGAGGAGGAGGAGGAGACTGTGGGTGCTTTCTGAACTTGGTTATTTTCTTGCAAACATCTCATGACCCAACTAGATAACATCATCAGGGCTAGAAGGGAGTGGAGTTTGTGGAGAGGAGGAGGAGGAGGAAGAGGAGGAGGATGACTATGGAGGTCATTGGTGCTCTTGGAGCTTGCTTGTTTTCTTGCAGATGTTTCATGACCCAACTAGGTAACATCATCAGGGCTAGATGGGAGTGGCATTTGTGGAGAGGAGGAGGAGGAGGAAGAGGGCTGTGGGGTCCTTGGCACTCTCTGAGCTCGCTATCTCTCTATGGAGATTCTCCTTCATCCAGATCATGGTTGTCCCCAAAATCCTTCCTTCAAGAGCCAACCGGCCTTTCCGTTTTTTTCTTCGAAAGGTTTTCTTTGAAGTCCCATTTTTTTCCCCAGCACCGTCGTATCTTTGAGCAAATGAATTTGTCGTAAGTCGAAGGCTACCCCCCTGTCTTAGGGTTATTCATGCTCCCAATCCTCTTGCCTGTCTCAGGGGAAGAAATTTTGGGGTGACCTGCTGACCGATGGGAAGATCGCTTGGCAACAAACCGGACAGATCTTCAACTCCCCCAGCGCCTGGGCCACCTATTGTAAGAAACTGGTCAATCCCGCGAAGAAATCTGGCTGCGGTTGGGCCTCGGTGAAGTACAAGGGCCAGAAGCTCGACCAATACAAGGCCGTCTGGCTGAAGAAACACCAGCCCAACGCTCCCCCTGCGGAGGAGGTAATCCTTCTGCTCTGCTTCAAAACCTTCTTTCGGAATTGGGTTTCCCCGAAAATAAGACCCTGTCTTATATATATTTTTTTGCCGCCAAAAAAGGCACCAGGTCTTATTTTCGGGGGATGTCAATCACTGATTACCTGTCAACTCATAAAACCTTCCTATGCCTGTTTTAGTAGTTGCCATAAATTTAAAAAAAAAGGGGGGGACGACAAGGAAATCTGGAAGAGCAGTGCAACAGTTTAGAAGCAAAAGTACATTCCAACTCTTCTCTTTCAAAGATTGTAACTAAACTACCAGAGCTTTTGCCCAGGAATATATTTAATTGGAGAACGTGAACGATGACACCCAGCCTGTGATCGTACTCAATTGGAGAATCTGATTTATGACATATCCAACGGGGAGGGGGGAAACAGGGTCACAGGGGACTGTAAATTACATAGGCCAGAGTTGGCTTCATACAGGGCAGGGCCAGTATGTCCCTTCTAATAACTCCTTTGAAGTTGGTTGAAGTTTGGCTCGAGAATCATGATTTAATGAGGGCGATTGCTGGAATCCTGACACTCACCTCACTTGCCCTGTGGAGGAGGTGATCCCTTCTGCTCTGCTTCAAAACTTTCTTTCGGAATTGGTTTATTTTTCCCCCCCAAGTTGTTGTTTTCCCCCAAGATTCTATGTGTATCCCCAAAAACAAGACTCTGTCTTATATATATTTTTTGCCACCAAAAAAGGCACCAGGTCTTATTTTCGGGGGACCTCATCCACTGAATAACCTCACTTGTGCGCGTCACCCCGGCCTCCTCTTCGTGGTCAGAGGCCTTCAGGAACTTCTTCTTCTGAGGCCAGCAAGGCTTTCCTGAAGGCCTCTGCAGCTGATAAGAGAGTTTTGGATCGATCCAGAGCTTTGTTATCAGCTCCAGAGGCCTTCAGGAAAGCCTTGCCAGCCTTGCCGGATGCAGAAGAAATGGACCAGCAAGGCAGGTGTCAGGGTGTGCCAGGCCTGGCTACAACCGTCCAAAGGTAAGTAGTAGGGCAGCTCCACCCCCCTCCCCACATCCCCACCCTAGCTTAATTTTTACTCGTCCAGTCTGGAGTGGGTGGGATCTTAATTAGGGCTTATTTTTGGGGTAGGGCTTATATTGGGCGCATGTATAAAAAATCAAGCTAGGACTTACTTTCAGGGTAGGTCGTATTTTCAGGGAAACAGGTCAATTCGTGGCCTAACCCTAACTCTAGCCCTCAGCTGTTTCCAAAGTTCGTAGCAAACTCATTCACAGCTCTGTTTATTATTGTTAGATTTCTTACCGTTGACTTAAACGGCCACAAGCTAAGCCAAACATTCCTCCAACTAAGCGAGACGGTGGTTAAGTGAGATGTGCCCTGTTTTACAACCTTTCTCGCCGCAGCTGAATGGATCAAGAGTTGAATTGGTTCACTTAACAACCAACAGAAAAACGGATGTCAAACCTGGCAGGTTGCATTTTTTACCAGCTTTTTGATATCCCGCAAGTAAAGCCAGAATTTACACGGCTAAGCAAGACGGTTGTTAAGTGAGGCGTGTCCCACTTTACAACCGTTCTCACCACAATTGAACCTCAGTTCAACAGTTGAATCATTGATTCACTTAATGACCGACACAAAAACAGATGTAAAATCCGGTCGGTTGCATTTTTACAAGCTTTTTGATATCCTGCAAGTAAACTCAAAATTTCCACGGCTAAGTGAGATGGTTGTTAAGTGAGGTGTGTCCCGTTTTACAACCGTTCTTGCCACAATTGAACCACAAGTTGACAGTTGAACCATTGGTTCACTTAACAACCGACACAAAAAATGGCTGTAGTGTAAAATCAAATTGGTTGCATTTTTACAAGCTTTCTGACATCTGATTGTAAGGGGCGGGCTCCACTATGGTCGTATGTCGAGGACTGTCTGTCCTTCTGGCCCGGCTGAGACTTTGGAAGTCAGCCAAAGCCACTTAGGTGATGCCTCCTAGTGGGACCTCATGGTACTTCAGGCATAAAGTGGATTAGATTAAATCTGCTCTACTCACTTGGTGCTCTTTCCTTCCTCCTCCCCCCCACCCTCCTGCCCCCACCAGACTCTGATCAGTGAAGGGGAGGAAGAGGACCTGGGTGACGAGGAGGAAGATGAGGCCAAAGGGATGAAGGCAGCCTTGGCTGACTCCATGCTGGCCAAGAAGATGGACGACAAAAGCAGGAAGCCCCTGGTGAAAAGCCTGGCAGACTTGCACAGCGCGGGTAAGGGGGCCAAGTGTTGAGGTAATTCCCCGTTAGGAGAATGAGCGCGTACAGGGAGACGTAGTGAGAGTAGTGAAAAATAATACACACACAGCACGCAGATACACTGTACAGTAAATGTAGGTTTTTACTTCCAGTAAACGTTTAAGCAAAGTCCAACAAAACAGTCCAAGTCATTCACGGTTAAAGCAGTCAGTTTTCAGTCCAGGGATAATCCAATAACAAAGTCCAGTATCAAAAAAAGTTCAGTAACAGACTTACATCAAATCCAAGAATAACAGTCAATTAGGAGGAACGGCAATACTCTCCAACAGAAGGAAACAGAGTCTCACTCACACTCTCTTCTGAGACTAAACTACCCAGGTTTCTGTCTCCATCTTATGGCTGTTTGAGGAACCACACCCAATTACAGTTTTATGATTCTCTTAAAGATACGGTATTAAAATGTCTATCCTGGTTTATATATTTCCAACCCAAATAACTGTTAGGTGACTTACATTCCTAACACCAAGCTCAAGAAAAGGGCCATGGGGGGCATTGAGTGGCAGCCGGCTGAATTTTTCTCAGTTGTACAGGGAGGGGTGCTGTTCTCCGCCGGTCAAAACAAAGGCAAGATGGCAGACACGCGATGGAGAAAAAAAGAGAGAAGGAAAGAAGGAAAAAAAGAGAAAGGGAGAGAGGGTGGAAAGAAGGAGGGAAAAAAGAGGGGGGAGAGAGGTAGAGAGGAAAGCAAGGAAGGGAGAAAGGAAGAAAAAAGAAGGGGAAAGAAGGGAGAGAGGAAAGAGGAGAGAAAAGGAAGGACAAAGAAAACAAAGGAAGAAAGAAAAAGAGGGGAGAGAGGGAGAGAAAAGGGGACACACACACACACACACGCACACACGAATCAAAGAAGGACCCAGCGTGAGAATCTTATGGCCGTCTTCACATCTGCCCAATTTTTATTCTGAAGCAATGACTGGCACTTCCGTTTTTGTTTCCCCAGATCACAGCAAGAGGCTGGATTGCCGGAATCGGGTTCCTGTCCGGTATTGCAATCTGGGGAGTCGGGATTCTGTCAGGTACATTGTTCCAGTGAACGCCGTGTCCGCTTTTAAGGGTAGCCAAAAATAATAAAATAAAATAAAATAAAATAAACAATAATACAATACAATGCAACAACACAACGCAATGCAATGCAATGCAATGCAATACAATACATAAAATAAGAGCAAAGAAGGATTCAGAGACCAGATTCTTGGGGAAAAGCGAGTTACTGCTTAAAAATGCATCTATTTTTCAAAGGGTGAGAAGTTATTTATTTTTATTCTGCGTTTGATCGATTCCTCCTGTTAGGGATATACACCCTAGCAGAATGTGCACGGCAGTCAGGCAGGCAGGCAAATATGTGAGATAAACGTTTTTGTAGCTTACACTCAGTAAAACAGATACACAGTGCTAGTTAAATAGTTTATTCCAGTAAGATTTATAGCATAGTCAAACAGTCCATATATCATACACTAGTTAAGTCCATCCGGGGATTATTCAGTTGCAAAGTCCAGTGTCGAAAAAGAGGTCATTAAACTTACAAATATCAGTCCAGTAATATATCTCTTCGCAGTAGAGATATGAAGAAGTCAAACCTTTTTTCTTCCTTCAGCAACAGCAAAGAACACGCAGTTAACAAAATTCAGTAAGCCAGCAATCAATCAAGTTCTCTTGCTCCCTCTTATGGCGATTTACAGCCGCACCCAAAATTACATGCTTTGCATTTAAAGTGACACACACTTAAATTCACTATCATAGTCTATATATATATTATTTTACCCAAACTACGTTAGGTAACCTATGTTATTCCTAACACCTCCCTCTCAGCCGAAGTGCCAATCAGGGATAGAGGGAAGGAGCTGAGCCACAAGTAAGGGAGACCCAAGTTTTAATCTCTCCTCAATCACAGAAGGTGATTGGCTGACTCTGGGAGAGTCCCTCCTTCTCAGCCCAAGAGCCAATCAGGGATAATGGGGGAAGGAGCTGGACTGGAGTTGGGAGACCTGGGTTCTAATCCCTCTCAGCCCAATTTGCCTCTTGGGGGTTCTTTTGGGGGAGAATAATTGGGTGCCAGATACACTACCTTGAGTTCATAGACAAATCTAAGAAAGGAAGGAGGGAAGGAGGGAGGGGAAATGGATGGGAGAGAGGGATGGATGGATAAATAGAAGGAAGGGAAAGAAGGATGGGAGGGAAGGAAGGAAGAAAGGATAAATGAATGGAAGAGAAGGAAGGGAAGAGGAGGAAGAAAGGAAGAAGATGGAAGAAAGGAGAGAAAAAGGAAAGGAAGAAGGGAAGGGAAAGGAATAAAT